AAAATAGTATTAAAAAGTTTAGTAAGCCAAGAAATTCCTTAATCTCCTAAGCATTTCCACGCCTCTATTGGAATATCATCAGGTCCAACAGCTTTTCCACCCTTCATTTTCTTTAAAACCTCTCTAATTTTGGTTTTGCTAATACGCCGATAAAAACATAAATCTTTATTTTCATTTAGAATGCTAAGGTCACTATAGTCAATCTTATTACCGCAAAAACAAATGAAACATTAGACAAAATAAGTATGTACAAAGCAGGAAAATGATTTACATACTAGGAAGATTTGGTTTAAGGTCCACAGTCAACTGAACTGCAACCAAGCAGTCATTGTGATCTCTTGTACCCAAGACAGCTCTTGAATCTCCAACATTTCCAATTACAATATCTTGACCCTAAATAGCACATCCCCACAGTCAAGAAGCTGATAATAAATATTATGTATAATCATTGCAGGAAATTTTATAGTTGAATAAATTTACCTGCTTCACAAGGGTGACTGCAGTTGTCCCACTGCAAAAGCAGTCAATTTTTGGATTCAATTTAAGTTCTTTATCCATGACCTGGAATGCCTTCAAGAATGACTCCTTCAGTTTAGTGAATACATCTGGAAGCTGCTCCTCTTCCAATTCATTAGAAGCTCTTAACTCGTCTTCTAAGCATATAGATGTGGTCCCTTCTGAGGTCAGGCTTCCTGTTGTACTTATGCTATTCTGTCTTAACTCATCACCTCCATGTTTCACTTCACATTGAGCATTCAGTTTAAGAGGGAGAGCATCTCTTACTCTCCTTGCAACTATATGTCCAAATGGACCATGGCCGTCAAAGACGCCACAGAAAACTGTGTCTGACCTTGAACCAAAACTCTACAAGCAAAAGATGAACATTTCCCATTTGTCAAATACTGAAATTAAATAAAGTAAATAAAATAGGTTAAAATATTTGAAGAATAAATTAAATAAAACATAAATTTCATGTAGCGAGGCATATCTGACAAAAACTATTAAATAGCAATTCATATGACCAATATATCATGCCCACAAGAAGAATCAAACTAAATTATATACTCAGGCAATGAAGCTCCAGTCGATAACGGGATAAAGGAGGGGGTGATAGATGTGATCATACCAGCTATATTGCATCGAGATTATTTGGTGATTAGAACCCATAACATTCGATCATAGTAGAGTAGTGGGACAACCTAATCATTACTTCAAGTCGAGCCTCAAAATGAATTATTAGAATGAAGGAAAAAAAATACCGAGTCTAAAATATCTAAAGCAATAAACATGGACAAAAAAAATTACTAATTGAAAGAAAATGTCCACCAAATAGCCACAATGTTTTATTATAATAAACAATATATATATATGTGTATATATATATATATGTGTGTATATATATATATA